AATTCTTTAATTTCTCTTCAGCAATGTTTGGGAACCTTCAGGCCACTCCTAGTGATACTTAGCCTGGAGGTGTGTGGGGGACGAATCAGCGTTTTGTGTTCAACACAGCCACTAAGTCCATCCTGGAAAAATGCTCTGATCTAAACAGGCTCCTCAATGTTTTACAAATATATATATACAAATCTTACCCTTTGTTATGGTTTAAATAGACTTTTTCTTTTTTGCTACTTCTTCCCTTGCTTAAATCCTGAATGGCATTGTATGCACAAATAGAAGACACTGCCTCCAAAATCCTTCCTCACTTCCTTCCACCACAAAAGTTGTTTTACTTCTGAAAAATACTTTTTTTCAATATTTAGAAAATGCACTACCATATTAAAAGAGTTTATCTTTCATGACAACTTAGACCTGCTCAAAGAAGTTGACTTCAGGCGAGTCTGCATTCTACAGCAGTACTGTGGATTTTCAATTTCTGGATATCTTTGAAAGCGGAGTGTGTTCTGGGAAATGCAGAGATGATTAGAAGGGAGGCAAGTGGAAACCAAATGCCAATGTACAGTGAGTCGTGATCTTTCAACAAATGCCTCATGAACGAATGAATGTACAAAAGCTATGTTATATTCTACTTTTATCCACTAAATTATATTTTAGTCCTTGGGAAAATAAAAGACCATTATGTTTTTGTTTCTGCTTTTTTGGCTATACCGGGTAGTGTTCACTGCTTACTCATGATTCTTCTCTATGCCACTGTGTTTGGAATAAGAAAATAAATGTTAAAGTTGCCAAGTTTTTTTCTTTACCAAATGTGAAATTAAATAAAATTACTGATTCTTATTTAAATTGGTGATAAAACAAAGATAATCATTATTAGAAAAGGTAATTAAAACTTATGTGGTCTGGGCACCAAATAAAGGGTGTTTGGAGGATCCTCCCAGGAGGGGAGATGCATGTCGAAAGTAGACTATGGACTGAACATGTTTGCCACTCAATGCCTCTTTTGCAGACCACAACACCCAAAAGGAGAGAGAGAACACAGGGGATTGCCCTGCCACAGAGACGGGGGGATGGGGGGATGGGGGTGGGAGGGATATTATCCATGGTGGTGGAAAATGGGCACTGGTGGAGGGATGGGTATCTGATCATTGTATAATTGAAACCAAAGCACAAAAAATTGTAAATCTACAACTTTAAAAAAATAAAATAAAATAAAGGGAAAAAAAAAAAAAAAAAAAAAAAAAAAAAAAAAAAAAAACTTATGTGGTCTTAATATAGCATTAAATAGGTAATAATATGTTTTTAATTTAGGTACTAAATGAGAAATTTGATAAATCATAATGATTAAACAAAATAAAATATTTTGTCTAAGTTTTGCCTAAATTGGGGCTGGAGCAATAGGGGCAATAGGCAGGTAGGACACTTACCTTGCACGCCACCAACCCAGGTTTGATCCCTGGCACCCCATATGGTCTCCTGAGCACTTCCAGGAGTGTTCCCTGAGTGCAGAGCAAGTAATTAGTCATAAGAACTGCTGTGTTTGGCCCCCAAACAAACAAACAAACAAATAAATTATTATTTGAATAAGTAGATCTACTGGAATTTTCCATAAAACAAATGACATATTTTGAGTAAAAATGTAACCATTCTTAAGAGTCTCTTAAGAGATGGGAGAGAAAATGTAGAAAATCCTTTAAGAGAAAACATTACTGATTAAGAAGGCATAAAAGAACCAAGGATGCCTGGGCTGGAAGAAAGTAGTGAGTTTAAGTGGTTGCCTTGCATGTGCACTGCCCTACCCATGTTTGTTCCCTGACCACACATGGTCTTCTGAGGACCTGGATGTGACCCAACCCCTAACCCATGAAAAATAGAATGAAAGATGCTAATACTGGTATTTGATACATAAAGTAAAAAGTCCTCTTCAGAGTAATTTTTAAATTACACAATGGCCAAAATAAAACATATAGCAACGATATAGAATAATTAAGTCATTAATATATACTAGGCAATACATCATGTATTTACATGTAAATATTTTTACTCATATCTTCATCTCTAATCCTCTGTAAGATAAATTATTATTCCAATTTTGGGGAATTCATTCTTATAGATTAAAAAGATTTTACCAATGTCACACAACTTAAGATATTGTGACATTGTAATTTTAGGCCAGATTATAAAGAATACATGTTACAGATATTATAGTAATAAAGAAAGAGAAATAGCTGGAAAACCTGAAAGACTCAAAGATTTTAAAAGCTATCACTAATAAACCACTCTAGATAGCTTGAAAGCTTTAAGAAATACTTTAATAAGGTGTCAGTTTTTTGAAACAATAGCAAAGAGGTAAAAGATTTTTCTATATACCAAAGCTTAAGTGGTTGGCTTAGGGCCAGGTAGGGCAAGGCTCCAAGAAGTTTGAAGGTTAAGAAAGTTCTATAGGGGACTATGTGATGTAGGTGATCTAAACCCTTAAACCAGAAACAGCTGTCTGCAAAGCAAATGACTCAACCTCTCTCTCTCCAGCTTCCAAGAAACTATTTTGGGTGTGTTGTCTCACAGTGCTCAGAGCTTTCTCCTGGCTCTGTGCTCAGGGGTCACTCCTGTACTGGTTTGAGGGACCAACATGTAGTGTGGGTCAGCTATGTACAAGCAAGCACCTTCCCCACTGTAATATCATTCTGTCCTCCTAATGACAACTTTTATGGTTGAAAAGTTAAACTGCTGATTAAATTCAGGAAACATGAAGCTAGAATTTACACTGCCATTTTATGCTATAGTAAATGAGAAATCTGTTTAATTGAATAGAGAGTATTTTATTTATAATAATTTGTTATTTACTAAAAAATATTTTTCTTAACTGGTCTATATTAAAGTGTTACTTAGTGAACAGATTTAGTTGCTAGTAGTGTTTGTAATTATGTCAGTTTTGGACAACTAATTGGAATTACAGTGAAAATTGGCCTTATTTCAGTTTCTTAGAGGCAGTTAAGAAAGAAGCTCTAGAACAATCTTATATATTCTAAGATTTGCGATTCAAAGACATGTAAGTGAAAGACGAAACTTGTGATTTTAAGGTAGTTGATTATTGAGTTATTTATGTTTTAACATTCAGATGACACATATGGACAGAAGCTTTACCAGTGTCTTAACCCCCTATACTATCTCCCAGCCCCATAAGCAGAAATTCATATATTCTGTAGTGACATTGAATAGATTTTGTCATTGATGATTTCAAATCTGCATTTATCCAAAAAGTTTTTAATAGGCAATGTCTAAAATGGCATACCAAAATTCATATTATGTGTGGCTAGGATTGATTTTATTTTCCTAAATGTATAGGTAATACTGTTTTGAAGAATGACATAATGTTATTAATACAGAAAATTTATGCCTCAGTTAAGATATAGAATTTTAATTTGAATTGTGTGTATATGGTGTGCTGGGGATCAAATCCAGGGCTTCATGCATGTATGGCACCTTCTTCAACACTGAGCTTACCCCCACACCACCCCCTCCAGCCAGCTATATTGACAAGGGGAACCTTTCAGCGATCAGGTTCTATAACCACAGGGTGGGGGGGAAGTATTCTAAGACCTTTTAAGACAGAAATTTTCTTCTGTGATTGTTTTTGTTTGGGGAGTCACATCCAGAGGTGATCACGGCTTACTCCTGGTTCTACACACAGGGATCACCCCTGGTAGTGTGGGGGGAATCATATGGGAACCAGGAATTTAATCTGGGTTAGCCAAGTGCAAAGCAAATGCCTTACCTGCTGTAATATCACCCTGGTCCCTGGGAAATATTTTTATTAAGCATATCAAAATTATCTTTTTAAAATAAATTAAAATTTATTGTAATATTTATATAAATGAATTAAATGACAGGAATTCATAATGCTAGCTTCCAATCATTTTGAAGTTTTTATTTAGATAACTGAACGTTTCACACATATTTGATCAAATTTTGATCTAGTATATATCATTATCAATGTATAATAACTTTTGTCAAAATAACAGAATAATAACATAAATTAATGTGTATGATTATGAAATTAACTATATTTTAGGAACCTGAACAAAATGTTTTCAAATAAAGCATCATTTATATTAACTTATGTTAAAGCAAATAAAACATCACTTATATTAACACACCATATCTTAGAAAAATTAAAAAACTTGAAGGGCTTGATCGTCGATTTGCTCGAGCGGGCCTAGTAACGTCTCCATTGGAGACTTTGTTGTTACTGTGTTTGGCATATCGAGTACGTCCTGGATAGCTTGCCAGGCTCTGCCGTGCGGGCGAGATACTCGAAGGGCTTATGTTAAATGAAGAATATAAAATAATAAGCATTATATAGTGATTTATAAAACATTTACTCTTTAAAATTGCAATGTAATTCTTAACTTTTATATATAGATATATACATAGAGTGTTTAAAAATAATTTTCTCCCTAACTAAAATGTAATATGTGAACAGAATCACAAATATAAAAAGTTGGCATTTATAAATATAAATGATCATTTATTCACAAAAATGTTTTTTAAAGCATGGTTTGGACAATAGTCTTATCTGATAATCTGATACTTTAAAAAAACTTTCCTTAAAAAATTTAACTTTGCCTAAAATAACTAATAAATGAAGGACAAAAGGATAAAATACACTACACTGGTATAGAAGTACAATTTCTTACAATTAGTCTAAAAAATTCTTTTAACTGAATGATCAAAGAATTCAATATGATCCATAGGGAGATGGGGTGGGGGTGGGTGGTTATAGTCACAGAATACAATTAAACTGATGCTGTTAATTTTATAAATAATTTAATTTTGTTGATATAAAAGACATTCATTTAAAGACAGAAAAAATTCAAGTACACTTTTGGGGGCAGTTCTGGTTGCTGGCATTCTACCCCGTATCTGTAGAAGTATGCTTGTTGGCATTAGGTTGCATCAATTCATTTGTGATTTCTAAATTAATTCTGAAGGAAACCACAACTTACTTGAAGATCCTGCTGAGTGTCTGTGTGCCTGATTTTTTTTTTCTCTCTTCACAGACAAAGCACTTCCACTGGTCATGGAAAAAAGGTCTAAATCCGTGTCTTCTCTGCTTACAAGTCTTGCCTGGGAGCAATAGGAGAGAATGTATACAATCATGAAACAAAATATGGCATTTTCTGAATACAGCTCACATTACCCCAAATAAACAAACAGGCTCTGTCAAACAACCTTCTTCAAAATGATACCACAATCCTTTATTGCTGCCTAGGCAGAACAAATGCACTATGTCAAAGCATTTTTTGCAAATAAGAGACGATTTTAAAATTGAGGTTTGCTATTTGAGTCTGTACAACAAAAGAAAACATTTTAGTATAGTAATTTTGATGAAAATCAATCTTAAAGGCAACGGATGAAAGTTTAAACAGCTTAACATTACTTACTTACTAAGTATATGATTTAATTCTTAATTGAATGTTAGAAATGTCATATTGTATTATTTTCTGCAATATTTATATTTTACCACTTATAAGTATTAGCTCTCTCAATAAAGTTCCCTCTAATCCCTTTTGTCTCATGTTTATATAGGACAAAGCCACAAAAGATCTTTACGTTCTCATTACAACTACTATTAATATGAAAATATTATGCATTGACTCTAATTTGGGAGTAATTTGTACATGTTTATGTGAGAAAAATCTAAATACAGCAAGATAAAACCACAAAATGATCACTGTGGTTAAAAAGTTGCTCCCATATGATGAGCTATAAAATCTCATGAAACCAGAATAGAAAGATCTCTTTCAAATTTAGATCTTTGCTCCTCTTCTATACATCCTCCTTCCCATCTTTCTATCCTCACATGCAAGCATAAAATGCTCATTGTTAAGTAAGTTTGCTGTTGATTAAGTCAGGGTAGAAACTAAAAATACAACTGAATTATCAAAAAAACTACATAATTCGAATGCAATAATAAATGACTTCCATTCACACATGTGATTTAGTATGAAAAATGTTATATATTACTTTGGAAATTTATTCCCATAGCTCAAGTAATACAAAGACTTAATAATGATCAGTCAAGAAAAAAGATGAAATACACGAGCAATACTACAGTTTTGGTGAGACCAGTTAAAAACAACAACCCAAACCATTTTAATCACAAGGATCACCCACCTGTTTATTGAAGAGGCTTTGACTATACACATCAAGATTCTAAAATCAGATTTTATTTGTTTCAGTTTGATGGCAAAATTTCAATCTATTTGAAAGTTGAATTCCAACCTTCCCCAAATAAGACAAAGTCTACATGGCAAGGAAATATTGCAAGCTTTCAATATTTCCAAAACTTTTTTCTTATCATCTAGCCCATTAGCTAATTTTGTTTCTTGCAAAATAGAAAACAATTATTGATAGTTACAAATTAGTCCAACTTACTGAAGGACACAAATTTAGAAGTTAAAATTATATGACTTGGCAGTGGTGCTAGTTAGTAGATTAAATGCAAAATTTCATAAAGGGACCAGAACCATTCAGATTATATTTCTGAAAACAGGCTTTCAAAGTGATCGCCACTCTTCTTACTATTAAAAGACAATAAATACAATATTTCTTCTGTATCATACACAATTAGATACTTAAAAGTGAACATAGCTAATCATGCTTTCACAATGAATTCCACAAAACTGTATATTTATTTTCAAACACTAGTAAAATATTTTACTTAGTGACAATACAGTTTTTAGTTAATTTCAGATAATACTTTATGCAAATATAAATTAATAACAAATATCTACTAATAGCTATAATGTCTATGTTTTCAAAAATTTTTAAGTTCTTTTCTATATTTGTAGCCACATACACAATTTGGGATATTTTCCCCTTTATTTTCACAATAAAATGAAAAGTCTGTATTTTAGAACATATCTTCTAAGCAATTACGTTGTAATTACCCTCCAACCTAGGTAACAATAAGAGGAAATTTCTAGAGGTCAGAGAGATAATATAGTGGGTTAAGAATTTGTCTAGTCTCCTATTTTGTTACTTTATGAACGCGCCCGATCTCCCTGAGATTAGTACCAGGAATTTTGCTCCATGACTTGGAGGCCAGCCACACGTGCTAGGGGAAAAGGGAGCTCAGATAGAGAAGGGAACACCAAATAAAGGTGTTGGGAGGATCCTCCCAAAATGGGAGAAGCATGCTGAAAGTAGACTATAGACCAAATATGATTGCCAGTCAATGACTCTTTTGCAAACCACAACACCCAAAAGGAGAGAGAGAACAAAAGGGAATGTCCTGCCACAGAGGCAGGGTGGCATGGGGAGGATGGGGGTGGGCGGGATACTGGGACTCGTGGTGGTGGAAAATGGGCACTGGTAGAGGGATGGGTACTTGATCATTGTATACCTGAAACCCAAGCACAAAAATTTGTAAGTCTATAACTGTACCTCATGGTGTTTCACTAATAAAAAAAAAAAGAATTTGCCTAACGTTCTGCTGACCTGGATTTGATCCCCAGAACCTTATGTGTACCTCAAGCCTACCACAATTGACCCAGGAGCAGAGATCCAGGAGTAAGCCCTGAGCACCACCAGACGAACCCCAAACAAACATAGACAAGTTCTCTCATTTAATTGAGAATACCTCTTTCTTATACTTTTTCCCGCCTCTCAGAAACAAGATTTTATTGTTTAAGTTAAACAAGAATATTAATGCCTTGAATTTTGTGTTTTTAGAAGACATACTAAACAGCATACAGGAAAACAATTACTATTTAAAATCGCACATCTATTTACATGAAAAATAAAATATTGAAATGGTATCTAATTACAAGCATCCTATGGTTTATCTCCATGTGCACATTAAAAGTTTTACATTAATTTTTGAAATTGGCATCTTTTTCTTCAACTTGCTTTTGTCATTGTAAATTAAATCTGTAGGATTTATATTTAGTTTATGCATTTTAATTGCTGGACTAATATTCAGATTATTTCAAAATTAATACATATAATATGAACATACTAGATCATTACTTGTAGTACTTAATTATGTATGAGTTATTTAAAAGCAGTTTTATATTTGGTTGCAAAAGCTGAATTACACATACTGCCTTAAACAATAGATTACCATCACTGCACCATCATATTTTCTAATGGAAATCATTCAAAAATATTACATTGCTATAATTTACAATGGACAAATATTAAAATTCAATCAAATTCAAATGTTTTACTCTAATCTAAAGTTTCCATAGAAATTGTAAATTTATGTTGAAAATTTCTTGTATATCCTTCAAACAGCTTGTACCAAAACAATGAATAATACTAAGAAAATTGAAGTTGGGACAACACTATTACTGAACTAACTCACCTTGTTGAGAGTTCATCAGTCTTCACATGTGTTATTCAATTTATCTGTTTATTCAACTATAATACCTTGTCACTTGTCTGGTTCATGTAAAAGCTACCTTAATCAGCACACAAATGTTTCATTTTACATCATAAACTTCCTTGCTTGCCTTTACAGTAATATCCTCCAGATCCTCTTCCTGAAAACCAGCAACCACTAATAATTTCTCTATTACATTATTTTGAGAAGCAAAGTAAATAAATATAGTACGTGGCCTTTGAAATTCTCTTTTTTCATTTTTATATAGATCTGTCCTTGAATGCAACATGAGGTTCTTATTGGTTGATTTTTATTTATTTTATTATATATAAATTGTATGCAAATACCATTATTTCTTTAGTAAACTGAGTAATATTTGGGTTTCTAAAACTTGGCTACTACAAATAACTGCTGTAGGTTATACATGTGCAGAATTTTGGTTAAATGTAGTTTCATTTCTCTTGAAAAGATCTCAGGAGCAGAATTCCTGGATCCTATATTTTTAACTACACAAGAAATTAACTTTTTTTCAGTGTTGTCATCTTAAGGAGCAGTATTTTATTGTCTGAACTGTTTCATATATTTGTCATACTGGATACCATCAGTATCTTATTTTAATCATGCTAGTATGCATATGTTGTTAGTAATCATTGAAGTTTATCAGCTTTTTATTAATTATTTATTTCTTACTTAGCATTTGGGTGTGTGTTTTATGAAAATATATGTATATATATACAAGTGCCTTGCTTATTTTTTAATTATACATTTTACTTTAATTGTTTTTTACTAATGACCCTTGTGATAATTTTTTGTTTATATTGTGATGGATATCTAGACTATTGGGTGATACTTGGGTCAGTGTTATTCTGGGCATGACTTTGAGAGGAATTTCCAAATTCAAATTTAGAATTTGAATGAGAACTAAATAGAACAGATAGTATTTCCCAAAGCAAATGGGCATTATACAATAAGCTGAGGATATGAATAGAACAAAAAAGTCAAAAAAGGGAGTATTTTTCTCTTCTGTCTGAATATTGACGCCTTCTGTGTTTAATCTAGAATTTATATAACACTAGTAGACTTCCAGGTTGGAGAGATAGCACAGTGGGAAGGGTGTTTGCCTAGCATGTGGCCAACCTGGGTTCGATTCCTTTCCCTCTCTGGGAGAGCACGGCACACTACGGAGAGTATCTCCCTCGCACGGCAGAGCCTGACAAGCTCCCTGTGGAGTATTCCATATGCCCAAAACAGTAACAAGCTTCAGAATGGAGACGTTACTTGTGCTCGTTTGAGCAAATCAATGAACAACGGGAGGACGGTGACAGTGCTACAGCAGACTTCCAGACTAAGACTTAAATTTATATCTTTAGGTATATTTTTAATCAAAGTTACATACTTTGATTCTCAGTGCTATGTAGGTACTTGTACTAGAATTTACACTTTTGGCTCTCCTAGTTATCAAACCTTCAGTTTCAGACTAGAACTATAGCATAAGTCTCTAGAGTTGGCAAAATCATGGGACATCATGTCTGCAGATCATGAGACCAAGCTTCTAAAATCAAACACATGGGTCAATTTCTTATATTAAATAATTTAATATATTATAATATTTATAATAAATAATCTATAATTACATGCAATAAATCATTCTGCATTTATATGTAAATGTGACTTTGCCCTCTCTCTCTCTCTCCACCTATATGTTGACCTATTAAACAAATGCATATGTATATATACA